GTTGTTTACGCTGTTGCTGTTTGTAGGTTGTGAGGACTGCTGCTGCGATATGAAGTTGAAGAATTGCTCCATTAAGCTTGGGTCGAAGCTTGTTGGCGGCGCTACTGGCGCCTGAGTAGATCGTTCCGTCGCTTCCTGCGTTATTCCGGGCGTTGTTCCTCCTTCGGTCTGCAGCTCGGAGACCGGGGGAAGAGTAGATCCCGTAGATGACCTTCTTTCTTTGCCACTTGCCATGTCTTGCCTTTCTTGAATAAAGGTTGAACTTCTTGTTTGCTTGCAGATTGGTAGCCTGAGAGAGGCTTAGTGACGAGAGCCTTGTTCTCTGACTGCTCTCATACCATGTTGAGCCTTGTTCTCATGCGTTTATATTCCCAACAGAGTTGATTGCGGGAGTGATTTTAGTTCCGGCGGGGATTGTAGCAGTTTGATTTACGTTGACCGTTTGGTGGTCAGAAACTGCATTGGTGGGAAATCGCGTTGGTCGGAAAGCTCTGTAGCAGTTGTGACGACGCGCAAGTGCACGTTCCTCCCAAGTTGGTGACCTGGCTTGTTTGTTGCGACACAAGTTCCTTCCTCCTAGGGTTTTTGGCTTCTCGAACTCCCGTGCACTGTACGCTCCCCCGTCAAGCTCTCCTTTCAGTTTGTCCCTTTTCACAGCTCCCGTTTCTCCCACACCCTTCTCCAACAGGGGTCTGGCTGTCTCGTCATTCTCGATTCCCAGTCTTTCGTTTCATGCAGGATCTCCAGATCGATGGCTGCTGCTCAAGCTGCAATTTTTACGGTGAAATTACAGTTTAGGTTAGCGCGATTCCCAGCAGCAGGGCGGATTGCCTCCCTTGGTCTTAGGATAGCTGCTGCTGGCAAATATTTTCATGGCGCACAGCTTCTTTCTAGTCATGTGACCTATGACGCGCTGCTTTTTCCCGCCTTCCAGCGCTGACCCGATTTCCTTTGCTGCCGCGCGAGTGCTGCTTTTAGTCGCAACAATTTTCTGGTGTGCGTTGTGTTGCGCCATGGCGCGATGTCCTTCAGGTGTAGCTAGCGCGCATCACTAGCGCTCGCCATGTCACGGCTGGCGCTTGGTGACAGCAGCGCACGTGACGACCTGCAGCGCCGGATGCGCGTTCCCTGCGGCTGCGGTCAGATCCGCGACTGCTGCTTCTGTCGTGTTACTGCTTCTTCTGTCGCACGGCTGCCGTGACCTCCTCGTTTGACAATCTGCACACACCTTCTGTCGCTTACTGCAGCTCCTTGCGCGCCTCTGCTGTTCATGGCACTGTGTTGTATCGGCGCCCGTGGCAATCGGCAGCAGCGGCTGGCGCACGACTGCAGCAACATGCGTGCCGTTGCATTACATCGCATGTGGCGGCTTCTGCTGGTGCGCGCCCTCCCCTTGCCATTTCGGGCGACCTTGTGCTACTATGCAGCATCTGCACTGCGACACTTGGCTCTTGGCAGGTGCGGGGCCTTCCTAAACAAGCAGCTTCCGATGGCGCACCGCTACAGCTGCGTGCCTACCCCGTCGTGACGAGGTGAGTAGCCCTTCACCGTGTAACTACCATTGCTTGCACCTTGACCTCTTCATCACCCATGTGTGTTCCTTGCAATTGATGTACTACAGCACTGACCGTGCTAAGTCACTTGTTACTGTTCCCACATTCTCCTGTGATTTTCCTTGCCCCCGCCTATACCAGCTAGCGAGCGGAAACGGCTGCAGTCGGCACCGGCAACTGGCGCTCTGGCGCGCACGTCTGCAGCTCCTGGTGTCCCACTGCTACTACTCCTGGCGGCGCACGGCTTTCTCCTTCCTGCTGAGGTGAGAATGTTTAGTCAAACCTGACTGTTTCACCCATGTTACCCTTTTAACCTGTGATGTTACCTTGTGCTGCCCTTCTTGACCCTGTGTTGCTCCATATTTCCCTGTGCTACTCCCCCTATACCAGGTAGCGGGCGGAAGCAGCTGCAACTGGTACACAAGCTCCTGGCTGCTGCTCCTGCACCTGGCGGCTGCTCTTGCACCTGGCGCCTGGTTCTACAAACGTCTGCCAGCAGCACCACCTGACTAGTGGCAGCATCATCACCTGGTCGCTTGCAGCAGCTCTCCTTGACGCCCTGCAGCACCTGAAGCCCTGCAGCACCTCTCCCTAATGCCCTGGCCACTTGCAGTGGTGCAGCTCAAGCACTGGGTGGCAGCGGTATCAGCAGCACCTGTGTCACCTTGGTGAGCAGTCCCAACAGCGCCTGACTCCAGCTGTCTTCCCTTGGATTTAGTAGGACTTTGTCAGCTTCCTCTTGTGAATCCCTCTGTCTGCTTGCCTCATGCTAACTCATGCTGACTTGTTTCTTCTCCCTTGAAGTCCACTCCGACAAGGTGCTTGTTTTGACGCTTGGCTGTCACGTTTCGGGCTTTCACTCCTTCGAGGCGAGGACGAACGGCTACTCCAGGTGCACTGGTTTGTCCTCCCTCTGTTTTGTGGTTCCCAACCTGGTGGTGACCAACCTGGAGGCGCCTTAGGACACTTGTAGAACGGGTGGCCAGACTCCTTACAGTACCAACACACGAGGTTTGACCGCCCCCCCTTTCTTTCGTTGCCTTTGAACTTTTCTCCACCCGTCTCATGCTGTCCTCCCGTTGACCTTGCCGTATTCTGGTTGCCCTCGGTTCTCTCCTTTGCTGGTGAAGTATCTCCACATGCTTGACCAGCCATGCGAGGAGGACGCTTGTCATGGTTGGTCTTGCTTATGAGGTCTTGGTAGCGTTGTTCCTGAATCATCATTCGCTGTAGTGTGTAGCTGTCCGAGATGTCGTGTAGCATTGCCGAATGCCTCAGCTCTTCCCAATGCGGCGGCAGCCCGGTAATCAGATTTAAGGAGAATGAATCTTCATCCACCATCTTTCCCGCCATTGCCAGTTTGTCTCGGATTGCAGTTGCTCGGTTGATGTATTAATCCACTCTTTCTTGGCTCCCCATTTTCAGGTTGTCCGATCACCTTTGGAGAGACGCCTTAGCAACCGAATCCTTCGCCTGGTAATTCTCCATCAGGTACCCCCATGCTTCGAATGCCGGACTATATGACTCTTGGAACACATCCAGTTGCAGCTGAATCGTTGCGCTCACGCTATGTAGCAGCACCCAAAAAGCCAGCATAGCACTTGTGAGTAGTCTGCTTGCAGAACTTCCAGCCGTTCCGTTGCATCTCGCATTTCTCCATTCGCCATTGTGACCGGGTATTGTAGTGTGACGAAAAACTCCCATAGATTTGTCACGCGCGCGTTCATGCGAAACCGAAGAGCCCACTCTCGGAGTCCCATCGAATAGGGTCGTTGTGAACACTTTGTCCACCGCTGCTCCCACCATCTTGCGTGACAGCCTGTCTTTGTCTTCTTCTGTGTACTCGCAAAGAGACGGGTCAAAGAGTGTAGGCACGGTAGATGGTCGAGGTAGTTGCACAGTGCGTTGTGTGCCTTCACGTTCCACCACCTCCACTTGGTCACGTCGCATAACTCCACCTGATTGCATCCCATGCCCCATGCGCCCAATGCTTCCTGCAGATACAGCTTCCGGTTGAGACTGCGGCGCGCGAGGAGGTACAACGTTGCCATAAAGGTGAGATCTGCCCATGATGGAAACTCCAATGGGATGGGAGTTGGTGGCAAGTCGTCGTAGTGGGGGAGCACCAATAGTGTAGGATTCAAATCACACACCGTCCATGCCCACTTGACTGCCTCTACCACTCCCTTCACCAATCTGCCTTCTCATGTTTATGCCGATCCCATCACCATGTTCCCTCACATCCCTTCCACTCCCGTACTCATCATCCCTCCCCGTCGCTTCCCTTTGCATGGTTGATTGAGGTTCGGGGTGGGAGCTCCCCTCTCCTTTGTCAGGCATATATGCTATAGTCTGTGTAGGCTGTAGTGGGTCAGTTCATATGGGGTACAACACTTTAGGGTTTCCTACTTGTACTCCTCATTCTACTCAATGCAATCATTCTCGTTTCTCATCATGGTATCGAGCAGGTTCCCTAGTGGGAACGCTACCTAGGGCCCACCACAATACACTTTTTTTTTTCTGCCCAAGTCGCACTCAGTGTGCCCTCCCTACCTTCGAGCCGCCCTTAGTGGCCCCTCTGTCGGCCCCTTTGGCCGCCCTTACGGCCCCTCGCGCCACCCTTACGGCCCCTAGCGCCACCCTCTACGGCCCCTCGCGCCGCCCCTACGGCCCCTTATGGCCCCTTAAGGCCCCTCACGTCACCCTTACGGCCCTCGCGCGGCCCCCTTTAGGCCCCTCGCGGCGCCCTTTCCGGCCCCTTACGGCCCCGTCTAGGCCCCCCTTGCGACCCCGCTACGGCCCCGCCTAGGCCCCTCAGGCCCCGTCGGCCCCGTCTAGGCCCCTTGCGGCCCCGCTACGGCCCCGCCTAGGCCCCTTACGGCCCCTCCGCGGCCCCGTCTAGGCCCCTTACGGCCTCGCTACGGCCCCGTCTAGGCCCCTTGCGGCCCCTCTACGGCCCCGTATAGGCCCCTTACGGCCCCGTCTCCGCCACATGCGGCCCCGTCGCCGCCACCAGTGGCCCCGTCGCCACCACCTGCGGCCCCGTCGCCACCACCTGCAGCCACGCAGCCGCCACCTGCGGCCCCGTCGCCCTCCCCTAGCGGCCCTGTCACCGCTCAGCCGCCCAGCGACCGAGCCGCCGAGCAGGCCAGCAGCCAAGCCGCCCACCTGCCGAGCAGCCGAGCCGCCCAGCAGCCGAGCTGCCCAGTAGCCGAGCCGCCCTGTCGCCGAGCCGCCCAGCAGCCGAGCCGCCCTGCCGCCGAGCCGCCCAGCAGCCGAGCTGCCCTGCCGCCGAGCCGCCCAGCAGCCGAGCCACCCAGCAACCGAGCCGCCCTGCCGTCGAGCCGCCGAGCCGCCCTACTGTCGAGCTGCTGCTGTTCCTACCGGTGCTCCCCGGCCCTCCTTCCTCGGACTAGTGAGCTCACTTCCTGCTAGGCCACTGCAGTCATGGCTACCCCCACTGTCCTTACTTTTGATGCTGAGGGCCGTGCCGTTGACTTTGAGGTCTGGGTCGATGACCTCCAGCTGTTTCTCCAGTGCGATAGGGCAGACGGACTCTCTCTGTTCAATCTCACCTCTGGTGTCTCTCCTGCCCTGCCTGCTACTGCTGACAGCACTGTTCGCTCACAGTGGGCCACACGCGATGCTGCTGCTCGCCTTGCTGTGTGTCGCCACTTACCGACCACGGAGCGTGCACACTTTAGCCAGTACAAGAGTGCTCAGACCTTGTACGACGCTGTAGTTGCACTCTACTCTTCCCCTGCCACTGCTGCACTGAGCCGCCTCATGCTCTCGTACCTCTTCCCTGACCTTGCTGCCTTTCCCACAGTCGCTGACCTCATTACGCACCTCCGCACTAGTGACACTCGCTACCGCGCTGCACTTCCTGCTGAGTTCTGCACCAAGAACCCCCCCCCCATGTACATCACCCTCTACTACATAGTCACCCGGCTCCCTGACTCTCTTCGCGTAGTCAGGGACCACTTCCTCTCAGTTTGTCCCACCACTCTCACCGTTCACCTCCTCGAGAAGGGCCTCCTAGCAGCAGAGAAGAGCATAGTCACTGTAGGAGCCTCTCGTGGTGACCCTCGCACTCCCGTCTTTGAGTGGTGTTCCCCCTCCCCCCTCTTGCCCTCTATTGTTTCTGCTGCTGCGGCCGACCTCGTTGGTTTCGAGTCGGTCGGCGCTGCGTCTGCCCCTAGCGGGAGACGCCGCACCGGCAAGGGCAAGGGGGGCAAGGGCGCTGGAGGGGCTGGCGGGGGCGGTGGAGGTGGTGGTGGAGGCAGTGGAGAGGGTGGGGGTGGTGGTGGGAGTGGTGGCAGGGGTGGTGGCGGCGGCGGCACCAGTGGAGGCGGAGGAGGCGGCGGTGGTGGCGGAGGGAGCGGAGGCGGCGGAGGGAGCGGAGGCGGCGGAGGTGGCGGAGGAGGCGGAGGTGGAGGAGGCGGCGGAGGAGGCGGCGGCGGCGGCGGTGGTGGAGCGGGTCGCGACTCTGCGCAGAGGAGTGGCTCAGGTAATGGTCCGCGCCAGCAGCAGCGGAGTGGGCTGACCCTGTCCCCTCAGCAGCTTCGTGAGTTGTACACTGCGCGTCAGCGCGGTGGGGGTTTTGGTCCCTGCACCTACGTCCTCCGTACCAGCGACCGAGATGGTGAGCGGTGCGGGGGACCCGCACTCCACCCAGCGCTGCTTCGGTCGCCTAACGGACGCGTGGCGTCGCCAGTTCCCTGAGGCGTCAGAGATCCCTCGCTCGGGAGATCTGTCTAGGGCGGGGGTTGCCATCTTTGATCTTGAGTATGATGCTATCCTTGCTGCCATGTATTCTGTGACTACCAGTGTTGAGGGTGACTGTTACTTGTGTGTACCACCTGACCCGGGCATTGAGGCCACTGCGCTAGGTGCTGGTGAGGCTGCTGCTCTAGGTGCTAGTGCGTCTGCTGCCCCAGGTGCCAGTGCGTCTGCTGCCCTAGGTGCTGGTGAGACTGCTCACTCAGGTACTACGTTGGCTCAGGCCTTACACACCTTCACCCTTGACTCGGGTGCGTCCCGCTCCTTCTTTCGAGACCGCACTAATTTCGAAGAAGTACGGTGTAGGCCATCAGAGAGTGTCAAATTATAATGTTGTGTAGGCTGTAGTGGGGTAGCCCATATAGGGTACACATTTCTAGGGTTGCATATTTGTACCACTTTCATTCCTTAGTGCATCATTCTCTCGTTTCTTCTCATGGTATCGAGCAAGTTCCCTCGTGGGAACTGTTCTTAGGGCCCACCAAGTCGAAGTTTTTTGTTTCCTGCCCGTAGCGCGCTTCGCTTAGACCCGAGTCGCGCCTCGTATGCCCTCTCTACTGTCGCGCCCTTCCTAGGCCTCCTTTGGCCCCGTCGCGTCGCCCCTAGCGACCTCCCTTGCGCCGCCCTTACTCGACCCGTCGCCGCCCTTTGCGGCCTGACGCTGCCCTACTACGGCCCGTCGCGGCCCTTGCTCGGCCCGTCGCCGCCCTTCGCGGCCCGTCGCCACCCTACGCGGCCCGTTGCCGCCCTTACGCCGCCCGTACCGGCCCGTCGCCGCCCTTCGCGGCGTCGCGTGCCGCCCTTACGGCACGCCGCCGACCTCTGCGGCCCCTCACGCCGCCCTCACCTGCGGACCTGCCACCTACCAGCGGGCACGCCGCCCTTACCTGCGGCCCCGCCGCCCTTACCTGCGGCCCCACCGCCCTCAACTGCGGCCCCGTCGCCCTCACCTGCGGCCCCGCTGCTCTCACCTGCGGCCCCGTCGCCCTCTCTTACGGCCCCGCCGCCCTCAACTGCGGCCCCGTCACCCTCACCTGCGGCCCCGCCGCTCTCACCTGCGGCCCCGCCGCCCTCACTTGCGGCCCCGCTGCCCTCAACTACGGCCCCGTCGCCCTCACCTGCGGCCCCGCCGCTCTCACCTGCGGCCCTGCCGCCCTCACTTGCGGCCCTGTCGCCCTCACCTGCGGCCTCGCCGCCCTCACCTGCGGCCCCGCCGCCCTCAACTGCGGCCCCGTCGCCCTCACCTGCGGCTCCGTCACCCTTACCTGCGGCCCCTTCAACTCCTGCAGCGCCGCCCGTCACCCGAGCCGCCCGAGCCGCATCACCCAGCCGAGCAGCCGACCGCCGCGCCGCCCTGCAGCAGCACCACCGAGCCGCCCAGCAGCAGAGCAGCCGAGCCGCCGAGCCGCCGAGCCGCCGTGCACCCGAGCCGCACAGCAGCCGAGCCGCCCCGCCGCCCCACAGCCGAGCCGCCGTGCAGCCGAGCCGCCCAGCCGCTGAGCCGCCCTACCGCCGAGCCGCCTAGCCGCCGAGCCGCCCAGCCGCCGAGCCGCCTAGCCGCCCAGCCGCCCAGCCGCCCAGCCGCCCAGCCGCCCAGCCGCCGAACCGCCCTACCGCCGAGCCGACCGAGCAGCCCTGTCCGGTGAGCACAGCGCCTCTATCATTGCACTGCCCTTTCCCTACTATTTGCACTGCTAGTCTACTCTTGTCATGGCTACCCCTAGTGTCCTAGCTTTTGACGCTGAGGGTCGAGCCATTGACTTTGACGTCTGGGTAAATGACCTGCAGCTGTTTTTACAGTGCGATAGGGCAGACGGTCTCTCTCCCTTTGACCTCACCTCTAGCGCCTCTCCTGCCCCTGCTGCTAATGCTGACGCCACTGTTCGCTCCCAGTGGGCCACGCGCGACGCTGCTGCACGTCTTGCTGTGCGTCGCCACCTACCTACCACTGAGCGCGCACACATTAGTCAGTACAAGAGTGCTCAGACCTTGTACGACGCTGTCGTTGCGCGCTACTCTTCCCCTGCCACTGCTGCACTGAGCCGCCTCATGCTACCGTACCTCTTCCCTGACCTTGCTGCCTTTCCCACAGTCGCCGACCTCATTACGCACCTCCGCACTAGTGACACTCGCTACCGCGCTGCGCTTCCTGCTGAGTTCTGCGCCAAAAACCCCCCCCCCATGTACATCACTCTCTATTGTATAGTCACCCGCCTCCCTGACTCCCTTCGTGTAGTCAGGGACCACTTCCTCTCAGTCTGTCCCACCACTCTCACTGTTGACCTCCTAGAGAAGGCCCTCCTAGCAGCGGAGAAGAGCATAGTCGCTGTAAGAGCCTCTCGTGGTGACCCTCGCACCCCCATCTTTGAGGGGTGTTCCCCTTCCCCCCTTTTGCCCTCTGTCGCCTCTGCTGCTGCGGCCGACCTCGTTGGTCTTGAGTCGGTCGGTGCGGCGTCTGCCCCTAGCGGGAGACGCCGCTCTGGCAAGGGCAAGGGGGGCAAGGGCGCGGGTGGAACTAGCGGGGGTTGTGGAGGTGGCGGTGGAGGCGGCAGAGGGAGTGGGGGTGGCGGTGGGAGTGGTGGCGGGGGTGAAGGTGTCGGTGGCAGCAGTGGAGGCGGAGGAGCGGAGGCGGCACCGGTGGGAGCGGAGGCGGCGGTGGTGGCGGAGGTGGACGAGGCGGTGGTGGAGGAGGTGGAGCTGGTCGGGGTGGCGCGTCGCAGCGGAGCGGCTCCGGTGGTGGTCAGCGCCAGCAGCAGCAGAAGCAGCAGCGTTCTCGGGACATCCCCCCCCCCTCAGCAGCTCCGTGAGTGGTACGCTGCACGTCAGCGTGGTGGGGGTTTTGGTCCGTGCACCTACGTCCTTCGCACCGGCGACCGCGCGGGTGAGCAGTGTGGGGGTGCCCACCCCACCCAGCGCTGCTTTGGCCGCCTGACGGACGCTTGGCGTCACCAGTTCCCGGAGGCTACTGAGATCCCCAGCTGGGGTGAGCTGTCTAGGGCAGGTGTAGCTATCTTTGATCTTGACTTTGATGCTATTCTTGCTGCCATGTATGCTGTGACTATTAGTGATGAGGGTGACTGTTACCGGTGCTTCCCGCCCGATCCGGGCATTGAGACTGCTGCTCTAGGTGCTGGTGAGGCTGCTGCTCTAGGTGCCAGTGCGGCTGTTGCTCTAGGTGCAAGTGCGTCTGCGTCCTCAGGTGCTGGTGAGTCCGCGCTCTCAGATACCGCGTCGGCTTCGGCCTCCCTCACCTTCACACTTTTCTCAGGGGCTTCTCGCTCCTTCTTTTGAGACCGCACCACATTCACGCCGCTTGGTCGGCCGGTTGCAGTCTCCCTGGCAGACCCCTCTGGGGGTCCTGTCCTCTCTCACTTCTCTACTGTCCTCCCGTGTCCGGCTGCCCCCTCTGGCACCTTGTCTGGTCTTTACCTCCCCTCGTTCTCCACGAACTTGGTGAGTGGTGCTGACCTACAGGATGCGGAGGCTCACCAGTTTGCTCCTGCGAGTCAGCGGATGACCCACTGCTCGGTCGCTCGCACAAGCAGGCACCTGGCCACGTTTACGCGTCGGCCGGGGTCGAGCCTCTACACCCTGACCACTGAGTCTCCTCCTGTCCCTGCGTCTGGCCAGGTTGCTGCGTCGGGTCAGGTGTTTGCTACAGTGTCCAGGTCTGGTCCTGAGTCTGCCCCCTGCTCGTGTCGCCTCCTGTCTCAAGAGACTCTCCTGTCGAACCACCGTCTTGGTCACCCCTCCCTGCCTCGTCTCCGAGGCATGGCTTCCCGTGTCCTTGTCTCTGGTCTTCCCCGGTCCCTCCCTCCCCTTCCTCCAGGGCCTGGTCCTTCCTGCGTCCCCTGTGTCGAGGGGCGGCTACGGGCTGCCCCTCACTCCTCTTAGTTTCCCCCGACAGAGGCCCCGCTGCAGACGCTTCACATGGACGTGTGGGGCCCGGCCCGCGTCCGTGGACAGGGTCACGAGCGCTACTTTCTGCTGGTGGTTGACGACTACTCGCGTTACACCACAGTCTTCCCCTTACGCAGCAAGGGCGATGTCACTGAGGTGTTGATCGACTGGATCCGCGCAGCTCGTCTCCAGCTCAGGAGGAGCTTCGGCTCGGACTTTCCTGTTCTGCGTCTGCACTTTGACCGAGGCGGAGAGTTCTCCTCTGGCCTTCTGCGAGCCTACTGCCGTGCGCGAGGCATCCGCCAGACCTTTACGCTTCCGGACTCTCCACAGCAAAATGGGATTGCTGAGCGCCGCATTGGCATGGTCATGGACGTCGCTCGTACGTCCATGATGCATGCGGCTGCCCCCCATTTTCTGTGGCTGTTTGCAGTTCGGTACGCGGCGCATCAGATCAACCTTCACCCCAGGGTCTCCATGCCGGAGACCTCTCCAGCTTTGCTGTGGACGGGGAAGGTAGGCGATGCGTCTGCGTTCCGTGTCTAAGGATCTCGGGCGTTTGTCCGCGACTTGTCCGCGGACAAGCTGTCCCCTCGTGCTGCTCCTTGTGTCTTCCTTGGCTTCCCCCCTGACGCGCCAGGGTGGCAGTTCTACCACCCCACCTCTCGTCGTGTTCTGTCCTCCCAGGACGTCACGTTTTACGAGTCGGTCCCCTACTACCGTCTCTTCCCCTACCGCACTCGTTCCCTCCCCCCGCCTCCGCTTTTCCTTGTGCCAGGTCCCCCCCCGGTAGACCCCCTCCCCCCTCAGGGTCCTGCCCCTTCAGGTGTGTCCCAGGTAGACACAGTGGAGCCGGTCGAGGTTGCGGGTGCTGACTCTGGGGGTGCTGCGCGAGTGGGTGCTAGGCCTGGGGGTGCTGAGCCTGGGGGTGCTGAGCCTGGGGGTGCTGAGCCTGGGGGTGCTGAGACTTGGGGTGCTGAGCCTGGGGGTACTACGCCTGGGGGTGCTGAGCTTGGGGGTGCCACGTCTGCAGCTTCTGAGCCTGGAGGTGCGGAGCCAGCGGCCACTGGACCTGCTCGTGTGGCCTCTGGCGGTGCTGGGCTTGGAGGTTCTCCGGGTGCTTTGTCTCCGCGGGAGCCACTCTCTCCACAGGAACTGCGCGAGTGGTTTGCTTGGCGCTGGAGGCGTACTGCTGGAGCTGGAGCTTCTTCGGCTGCTGAGGGTGCTGGTGCCGCAGGTCCCGGAGGTGCTCGTCCTGGGAGTGCTCGAGCTGCTGGACCTGCGGGTACGACTGGAGCTGGAGGTGCTGAGGGTGTTCGCGCTGAGGCTACTGCTATCAGTCCTGGCGGTGGTCCTGCTGCAGGTGCTGCTGGTGCTGCTGGAGG